GTGCTACAGAAGAGGGCTATTCGCGCAATCTATAACCTAGGAGCTAAAGAATCGTTAAGGAATAAATTTAAAGAAATCAAGATATTGACTGTTGCTTCTCAATATATATTCTGCAATGTTATGTATGTACGAAAAAATATTAATGATTTCATGAGAAAATGTGATACTCATAGCATTGGTACAAGGAACAAACATAAACTTGTTACTCCTGTTACTCGACTACATAGAGTCAGTAACTCCTTTGTGGGGCAATGTATACGGTTTTACAACAGGATCCCAGAAAGCGTTCAAAATGCCTCTATTGCTAAATTTAAAAAAATTATTAAGGAACGCTTGTGTGCAAAAGGTTACTATACAATTAAGGAGTTTATGAACGATAGCACACCTTGGGAATGAAACGCTCGCCTCCTGGCTATTTCGTCTCATATTAAATTGTGTATATAATATATGAGAGAAATATATATATATATATAAAAAAAAAAAAAACCCGCTGAGTTTCTTTCGCCGGTTCTTCTCAGGTCAGGGTATTTTCTTTTCCGAACCGGTGGTAGTCTCAATATGACCATCAATAAGAAAGTGTAATACTTCTATATTGAATAAAGTTGTTTGAGTTTGAGTTTGAGTTTGAGTTTGAACTTATTACATTGCTGAGGGCGTGTTGTATATTGATCTGAATAATTTGAAGATTTTATTTTAAAATCAAGCAATTGCTTGAAATAAATTTAGAAGGAAATAAAAATGTTACGTATGTATATAACGTGTGTATAAAAATATTATAAACAAATAAAGGTAAAGAAAAAATATAACTTTTTATCTTTTTATTGGTATCAGGCTAAAGATATTTTTCTTTTTAAGCTTATCATTTTAATTAAACGTTTTAACAAGAATATAAAATTATTTAAGGGTAATATAATTTTTAGACTACTCCCCAATACTTTTAAATATTATTACAGAGACGCTTTTATTTATTAACTGGTTTATAAACCTGAGTCCGCTTGAATCAACATAATCTGGACGCTCTTTTATTATACTTTCAGTTCATAGTTTATCTTTCTAGTTATTCAAATCCGTCCATTCGTTTCATAGTGAGCAAAAAACCATATTCTTTAGTATTTGAAACATTTTTTATTCATACAAAATATTTATTCCACAACTTTCTGCCGGGGTCCTCTGGGTGCAGAGTTCACGTGTCAAATTAATAACACCAGTGTTCATTGCGGCATAAAATATTAACAGTTTATAAAGCAATGAATTTTCAGAAACCTGATAAGGGAAATGAAACTGAAAATGAGCGTGAAAACTGAGTATTAATTTCGATAAGAATTTAGTGCTCCACAATACTTATATTGTTATAGTTTGGCAACTTTAGTAATGTCTACACTTATAGTTTGTACCGTTGGTAAGTAATGGTAACATTTACATATATTTTGTTGATCGTTTTCAACAGCCCATAATAATATATGTCTATATATTCTAGGAATAGTTATAGCGATTATTTCACATTCAATAGGACTACAAATTAAAAATAATTTTAATGATGCCATTCATTGGTTCAGCAATCCTGATATAGACAGAAATTTAAATAATAACAATAATAGAATACATCATCTTTATAATAAGAGATTACAAAATTTTCCCGTAAAACATGAGAAACTTCACGAATATCTGGATAAAAATAGTCTCAATTATAACAATGAGATACAATTAAATGGAGAAGATAATAAGAACTATGATACACGGAATGAAGTTGTACAGGGAAACTCTTTAGAGGTCCCAAATAAATATATCTCAGTTAAATCGCCGTTGCTAAATTCTCCGCCAGTGAAAAGGAAACCAAATTATCTATTGAAGAGAGGAAACGGCGCTAACAATTTGTATAAAGACGTCAGCAATAACGACCTTAGCGACTATTCTAAGATTTACTTAGTCCTCGATCCAGATGCTAATCTGGGAAAGACAGATGTTAGGGATATAAGCAAATTGTGAGTTAATTTTAATAAAAATATTTATTATTGTTCTATATCATTAAATTGTATGTGTCAAAATAATATTTGAGATAAATTTTGTATCAAGTATATTTTTTTAATCATCTTTAAAATTTTTAAGACTATCTTCTATGTTGACAAAATTTAATATTAACAATAATCCGCCTGCGATGGACATTCTTAAGAGACCGAGTTACAAAGGATTTCTATTAAGAGACAACCGGAGAAGGATTAGAGAATCCAATGAAAGTAAGAAATCTAATTCATTGTCAAACCGTAAGTACCTTTCGAGTTCGTGTAACGTAAAGCTAAGCCTATAAAGCAGAATTGTAACACAGACGTTATTAAATTGTAATTATAGAATTAATATCTAGAAACACTAATTTCAAAGATTATCATTTACTTAATACTATATTATAATTTCATAGATTTAAATGTTGCTGAGATAAGATAAACCTTGTTTAAATTGCACTGTTAAAGGCGCTTACAAATAATTTCCTCTGTAACATATAATAAGTTATGAGATGGTCACAGTAATTTTTCACAGAATTCATTCCGAAAGATTCATTGGAGCATGAACATAAACCCAAGCGTTCTAGAAGCGAGTATTCTGGTGCAAGGGGACGCACAGGCATACCTTATGTAAGACACAGGGGCGATGTGTATGAAAGGGAATAGTTATTCTGTTTCTTTTTAATATTTAATTTCTACATATTGTTTTTGAGGATTATAGAATTAAAAACAATTATGTTATTCAGGCTTTTTTATTCACTTCAACTTATATTACCTGATCATTAGATAATTATTTCCTTTAAAAAATGTGATATCAACTTACCGCAACGCCAATAATGCAAGTGGATTTTTTTGGTCATAACTAGTAGTGTTGTGTTTTTGTTGCTTCAGCTGTCCCACATTTCGGATTTTTCGAAGTAAAAGTTCTTCAGTTTGTGATTTCCGCAACTTTTCTGAGCCTTTTTGCATCTTTAAAAATCTGAATAGGAAAAGCTTTCCAGGGTTGACGTAATATCGAACAGGATTAAAATAAAACTATGTTAGTGTTTTGCTAATTTTTATTTTCTATTTATTTAAGAGTATATCACAGTCATCACTTTAATAAGTGTGTCAATATATGTAAATAAGTATAGTTACTCCTGTATTATAATTAGGTAATATATAAATCAATTCTAATAATGTAATAAAAATGTAGACTAGACGTATGCAATGAAAGTCGTAAATAAACGTTGTGAGACTAGGTGAATGGTGCAATATTAAATATTCCCCACCGGAATCTAACTACTGTGTATTCTAATCTATATAAAGCAGCTTTTATTCTGTATCTTGTTATGAATAAATAGCATTTTTTAGTTAAAATATTATAATATTATATTAGTAATAATTTTACATTTTCGTGAATATATTGAATATTTTAAAATATTTCCTTATAAAATATGTGAATGATCTAATCCGCAGCTATTAGAAGCTATCTGAATTATTAAAGTTATTATAATATTATAGTGACAAACCCTTACAACCAATAAATATTCTGGGATCTAAAAGATAATTGACTAAATATTCTATGCCATAATTTCATAAATCTGACTAGGCCCGACATTAAATGCTAAATATCTTACAGATGAAGGAAATGTTCTTAATGCTAGCGATAGTTGGAATAATATTTTTGGTACAATATAAATATTAAATATAATATTCTTGGTGTAATATAAATACTATACAAATCGATTTTACGGACATCACATAAATATTTTCATAATATATTTGATAGTTTCATAGAAACAAAATCTTATTCTATTTTATTTTAACGAGTTAAAATCGAGACAGATCCGTAAGTGAAGATAAATTTAATTTTAATCAACATTACATATCAAGATTATACTTAAATGAGAACGTTAGGATGTATAAGAACTTCATACAGTCTTTGATTTTTATTAATATAAAGTATTTTTTGTCTGTGCTAATAAATACAGGATGGGCGATACGAGGCGTTCTTCAGGTTGAATTAAAGCAGATGGAATGGTTTTAACTAAACAGTGTATTGTTTTTAATGAGTTTGTAATTTTGTTTTTGAACTGAGTTTGCTTGAGTTTTACATAATGTTATATGAAATTGGATTGGTAGGCTATTTGACTTTTGATAATTAAAAAAGGTTTTACTTATAACTAACGAGATCATAACAAATTATTAAATTTGGCATTGGAAGACTAGAGAAACTTTATTTTGATTATTATTTATATATTTTTGATTCTTTTCTAATTTAATTAAAGTGGGGAAGTTATATAAAAATTAACAATTATATTGATGAATAGTCAAAGTTTGTGATGGTGTAAATATAGTAAAAAATTAATAAAATGTGAGATTTACGTACTAAATGCTGTTTAATTAATGTTAATTTACCTCTGTAATTATGTATTTCACTCAAATCAAATTGTATATTTTCTGGCAAGATCATGTTGAAGTTTGGCTAAAGTAGTAAAAACAATAACCAAACATCGTAGCACTTACAGAATAAAAGTATTGTTACAATTTTTACAGACCAAAATCGAAGATAAAATTTGAATTTTAGTGTGTTAAATAATAACTAAACTTACGCTACCGATACCAAAACTAACAACTAATTTGAAACTAGATTTTTGTTCTGTGCCGAACGTAAGTAAAGTCTATTTACTTAAGAGCAATTGTTCCCATTCCAGGCATTTCACAATATGTCTTTTAAAATAAGTATATTGCGTCTTACATACATATAGGTACTTTGATATTTTAATTGAATTAGCATAATACATTTCTCATGGTTTCTTCCTAGCCAATAGCAATCTAATGGACCCTTTCATTTCTACAATTCATATAATAAATTACTAAATCTACTTTATATTAATATCGCGTTCACTTACAGTTTATGAACACTTGGAGTTTTTTTTATTGTTTCACTGGTGTTTTGATTTAAAAGTCTTTTCATATGGTTTAATTTGTGTTCCACCTTGTTGGCGATTCACGTCACCCTCAAAGGTAGTTGGGGCGCGACATACAGCAGAGAACGCCCATGCCTTTGTAGAGAGATCCTCTTCGCTTGTTTCGCCATAGACCATTTGTGTCATCTCCCTTTAGTGCAACGTTAGTTTCTGTAATACAAACATTAAGTGAACAACTAGGCATGATTTAACACCAACATTTTCTAACATTCTAAGAAGTAAAGCTACAATCTACCTATAAATTAAACTATTAAGGAATTCTGTTTTTTTTTCTGTTCTATATAATTTCTTAAAATATTGTGTTAGGAATTCTTCTCGGGAATAAGGAAAAAATAATAGCAATTGCTTTGATGACAAAAGTTATTTCTTTCTTTTGTTTTATGTACAGTTTTCAGTTTACTTCCTATAAATAAGAATATTCCATACTTATGGCAATCTAATATTTATGTAATACCGCTCTGCAACATCGTTGCTTATATTTATACATTTCCTTTCGTAAAATAATCGAAGTATCAGAATAATATGTAAATATGTGTGCGAGGAGCTGAAATAAAAGAATATTGTATTCTTATTCCAATGTAGTTTATCCGTAATATTCGAAAAGCGAATATGAGCAAGGAGAATTTATTATAATATTCCTGGGAATCTTTAAAAGAATTTATTTATTTCTATATACAAAGAAACTATATAAATAAGAATTTATATATTTCTATATACAATCAAAATAATTTTTGGTTCTCCCATACATGTAGCTATTGACTGTATGTAAGGTTAAATAGATATTTTTCGTGATGTGTAAGTGATGTATAATTAATCTATTATAAGACTAATAATGGTATAAATTGTATACCTAAATGGTTAAGATTATCATGTTGCGGTAAATATTCTTGGATGTCGCTGACGATTCTGTTTATATCCTGTGTGTCTTTAGCGATGCTGCAAAGCTCTTCTTGGTTGAAGTCTGGAGTGATTTGTTTGCACAACAAAATCTGACTAATGACGTTCCCAAAGTTTGAAGGGCCAGCGCGATTTTCTAAAAGAATTTAATGTATTGAATACGATAAATACACTATACTAGAAAAATTTAAGCATAACCTACAGCTTTTCCACATTCTTTTTTCTTGGATTGTAAATTATTAAAATTTGTAATGATAGCTTTTAATGAAGATTTTGTTGGTACACTAAAGTTTATATGTAGTATATTTACATAAGCCATTATATGTAATTAATTACATGTAATTTCTAAATCAATTCAAATTAACTAACAAGAGAAATTTAAGTGAATAGCTATCAAGTACTTTTAAAATACATAATAATAAATTTAAAACATTATCCATCACTAATTCCAATAATGATACCATGTGTTAGTCATCAAAAGAAATCCATAACCTACTTTTCACTATGAATTAATTATTAATAGTGCATTATACATTATTATTTCACTATTGCACAATTTTTTGTTGTCTTTTTTGATCAAAATACAAATAATTATTCTTATTCTTTAAATTATCTAAAGTAATTGAAAATATATCAGTTGTCCTAAATTTATTTATTTTACATATTTAAAATGGGTACTCGTATTCGATTTGACAGTTGAGTGGCGAGAGAGATAAAAAATGTCCCATATTCATTTTTTAGAAAACAAAGTAACAATGCTGCTCTGTTACTCTCGTAGAAATAAAACCAGAATTCATTTTCCAACTATTGAATGTTGGTCGGAATTCTTAGTTCATATAAGATGTTTTTAATGAATTTAGAAAAAAATAGGGTGATATGTTTGGATGCCAAAATAATTCCAAGATTTTTTTGCAATCTACTAATAAGACAATAAAACATACATGGGATTACTTTAAATATTCTTATATACTTATTATATAAAATCAATATGTAAACAAAATAAATATTTTTGTATGAATTAAAACGAAATTATTTTTCTCATTATTATCTTCAATAAATTAAATTTAAATCCACTTATTTCAACACTCATTGATCTTTTTGCCTTCCGATGAAATGTTGTGTTTTCCCTAATAATAAAGAAAAACTTCTCGGTATTGAGCTGAGTTTTGAGATAAATTAAGAAAATAAACAGACTAAAGTTTATAGACGGTATTGTTTTTGGAAAGAATAAATGTTAACAAATTATTTAAGTATTGCAATTTAATATTTTTAAATATGTACAAATGGCGTCAAAAATGTTTATATTTTGGGTTTATGTTACCCGTGCATCTAAAAAGCTCTTTCATTAAAAATTTCCATTAGATATGCTTTTAGGAACTGAAATAAAATTGAAATTGATATTCGTACCATAATATGACGTCATGTCCATAGGTACAAGTTGCACTAGGCGGTGGCATTTAGCGAGTTCACGGAGAAGTAGTTGTGACATGAAGTATAGGAGAACCAGCTGAGGTTGATCTGAGCAGCCTTCACTTGTTGATCTGTTGAGTAAGTTTGTTTTAATTCAACAATACCAGAATTTTGAAATATTTTATAAATTTGAGGATAAATTAATTAATAATTAATATCAAAATATGTCTTAAATATTTTACTTAATGGAATTATCTCTATTCTTTATTGTAGAAATAATGTAAGACGTGATGGTTAGAACGAATGAGATTATAAATATAAAAATATCTACGACAAAATGCGAATGTTAATCAATCAAACTGCCGAGTTTTCCGCCTGTAAACTTTAGTGCGCTCTCCGATTTCGGAGGTTCGTTAATTCCCACCTTCATTTACTTCTTAGCGATTTCTATTCTCCTCTTAACAATGCTTTCTTATAACTTATACATTGTTACAAACAAGCATTTAAAAGATAAGTCTAATGAGAAAAGTTCAATTTCTTCAACATTACTGCAGTGTTAATGAAATTAGTTTTTAAGTAGGTTTTATTACTATGAAAACTGAATTGGTTCATTTCTTTAGAATTTATGAATATAAAGGTTTTATTCTCTTGGCCAGTTCGCTCTATTTTGGCATGTGATTGCTACACTTAACTATTATAGCATTTTATACACCTTCTTCTGTGTGAATTACTAAAACGTTTTTACCGCAGAGATTCAATCTTTGTTATATGAAGATCAAAGAAATACGAGCCCCTTTTAAATTCAAATTAATCCGTATTTACCAAAACCTTGGAGTATAATATGACTTGATTAGCGGTCTCGTGTCCCATTATTACTCTAATTATACATTTTGGTGATCACATATTTGACAATGTTACGAAATGTTGTATTTACTAACATTTAATAGTAACTTAATAGTAACGAATACTATCAAAGTATACTTATTTCGTACAAATATTTGAGTAATTTGCTTATTGAAAAAGAAAGATTTTTAAATATACAAATAACTGAAAACTACTGGATCGTTCTGAATGATTTTTAAAATATCTTATGATATATAAGTTTTTTGGATATGTAAATATAATAAAAATTTTGGTGTTTTTTTTCGTGAATCTCTAAAATAGAAAATTGAAGGTTAATCTAAAACACTTGCGCGAATTTCTTGCACGTCTTCTAATATTAATATATTTATAACAGATATTAAAATGGTTGCTGTGAACTTTACACTGTTATGTTTTAAACAGAACATTCTAATGATTAATTAAGCCGAATGACATGTTTAACGAATAGTGTTTAATAATTCCATTTGTATTGTTTTGGAATAACATTAATCTATCCGAACCGCTTCACGAATGCTTTCAATGTTCTCTACCTGGGTTGTGAAGCCTATTATATTTAGCCTACATGTTTATTTGTTATTGTCATTATTATTTTATTGCTCAATGCCAGCTGTGTTTGTTTATTTCAAAAGGATGACATATATAAATATTTTATGACGTGACATTTCCCTGAATTGAAATGGTTATTAAAAATTAATAATGATGGCATTCTCGGATCAAAAATTTGTTGTGTGTAGATTCATGTCACTCAATTTACAATATGATTAACGTTTTTCATTTATATGGCGTTTTTTTTATATATTTATAAAGAATACATATATCAATGAGTTACTTGCAATCGATGTTAAGATTGGTGACTTAAGTTTTACTAAGTTTTACTAATAAGAAACAATATTTACAAAGCGTATTTTTTATTTAAAATAATTAAGAGACTTTTATACAACAGACAATGCGTATTCATGCAAGAACAATACAGTTACACTCCCTGAACATATGCGAAATATAAGACCACGTTACAACCGTTTAACAATTATTTGAGGCTTATTATTACAGAAATAAATAAATGTTTCCATTGATAATGTTTTAACTCTATCGTCCAATTTTATTTCACAACATTATTCAGATTCTTTCAAATAATCCTCAACTTGTTATAGGAAAACCAGAGCTTTGAAATAAAACCAGACAAGTTCATGTTTGAAAAATTATAATATTATATACATACTTCTTGCAGGTTGGCAGGACCAGCTGGCTGGTTTGTTTGGTAGCTTCCACGCAGGTTCTTCGCAGTCTGCGTACACGTTCTCGGAGTTCAGGGCAGTCATGGGGCTGTCCTATGTGGATAAGCAGGTCGCGGAACAACGCCAGTTGCACGTTGATTTCCGCAATCAGCTGGATAAATGATTTATATATAATATGGTAACATGTGTGCTACATGTACATCCAGTCACAATAATTAACCTTACATTGTAATTTTTATGAACATCAGTTTTCATAATCAAAGATTAGTTATAACCTGCACACGAGAAACCTTTTAAACCTTACACTGTATTTTGAATAATTATTCAAATCGTCTAAATAATCACCAAATAAAAGTTCGAAAACTGATTAAATCACACAAGTTTAATGTTTTATACGGTTCTACATATTCGAAACTTTCTAAATAACATAATATGGGACAAGGGAAACTTAGCTAACTACAAATGGCCTCCAAACAATGAAAATTTATCGGGCTTTGTGGTAGCACTTCTAAGCGTCTAAGCATAGCAGTCTCCCTGTGTAAAATCAAACAATAAATTATTTTATACTATCTAATAATAATATGTACTAAATAATTGTGAAGATTATATTAAAAATAAATAAGAATTTTAATTTTGGATTTTAATAATTGGAGTTAAATTTTATTTCAAAATGATGGCCAATTTATTAAAAAACTACATGAAAATTGTTTTCTGAAAACAAAGAATATTCTTACTACGTTTATTTTACGGTCTTTTTAAATTTTATATAGTATGAAATTGTTTGTGATGTGGTTTTCTGAACACTTATTTTTATTTAATAATCAGAAAATGTATGTTATAATCGCAAACCAATAGTGGACATGTTATCATGTTATCATAGTAATTTTAATCTGCTCATTGGAGTAAAGATTCCAAAATTGATACAGTCATTCGAATGATAGACACACATTAAGAACTGTAAGGTAGAGTATTTATTTAAGTCACTGATAAGAATATACAAAACCCCGGAGCACGTAGACAAATGATTAAGGATAAAAATCTGGCACGGTTTCTGATTCGAGACTTTGGCACCGCCATTTTAGTTTTGGCTGCTCTGCCAAGGGCATTTCAATTTACCCCTAATACTAAGCTGGCTGGTATACCACGTGAAATAGAATAATGAAAAAATTTAAGGCTCTGAAATAAAAAATCATTTTTTTATATATTTATGATTCTGTATAACTTTATGTAGTTGCAGTTTCCGTTGCAGCAATTTTAAAAATTGTAATAAGTAAGTGTCTATTGTACTTTTGGAATGAGTTAAGTAATGAGGATAATGATCAAGCGCACAGCTTAATCTGTCATAATTTCATATTTCTTTTTATTTCATGAAAAACTTCATTATAATTTGCAATTAAATAGACAGGATTTATTTAACAATAAAACTTTTTCATTATTAACTACTCTAATATACGTATTTACCAAGTTTATCGTACGTGTAACTGTATATAAGTGTAAGTAACACGCAATATAAGTTATTGATTGTAAACTTTCAATTCTACGACAATGACAGCTAATAAATCAATTCAAGATAACATTAGTTTCCTTATCATGATTTAGGATGACATATTTTTTTGGGAATCGTTCTTGTAACTTGTCCAGTATACATTGCCTAACTTTTAGCCAGTACAGCTATTAAGATCTTAAATGAGAAAACTTCTAAGTCGAAATTTGTTTTATTTTAGATTTGCCTTAGGAGGAATTGACCGTAAGGAACTACTTGTAACTTTATATTTATTGTTAGTTGTTTAATCTGAAGACCTAATCTTAATTTGGAGACAAGCAATTAAAACAGCATGTTGATAAATTTTTAACAAATATTATACTTTTTATGATAATCTATTAATAAGTAGGTATTTTGTGTGATAATTTAACATTTTTTGGTAGCTTAACGATTTTTTTTAACTAAAAACTCATGTAAGTCCATTACAATATTTTTAATATTATTTTTTTTTTATAAAAAACCACCAAACTCAAAGCACTCGCTATGTAATATTTACTCACTTAAATTAATAATGTAGTATTAAAGCTCTGTTATTCTTAAATTCAGTTTTTACTCTCAAATTATACCTCATATTTATTAATTAGCTTCATACGCGCGAAACTCGACTGACCCCGATTACATATTTCTGTGTGTTAATTAAAACTTAAATATTCCAAAAGCTAACCCTAAATTATAATAAACATATGAACGCAAAGGAATAGGATTAGATTAAAGAAAAACTTGCAGCAAATCATGTGTGAAAAAATTCTCGGGACTTCCTAATTAAATAACCAAGAAAGATGAAAAGTATATGAAAATTTATGTATATTGTATAATTGGATTAAAATAAAGCTTTTTAAGATGAGTAAGAATACTAAGCACATCGTAGGCTGTATACCAAATTAATTTTTGTAATGTTCTAAACTTTTTGTATCTACGACCCTCAGCTTGCGGTAAATTGAGTGCCTCGTGCTTATTTATCACAATTTTTCCTCTTTTATAGTCGTCTCGGACCTTGTAAGCAAATTTTTATGACTCATATATTCTGCATATATTTTTATGAAATTTTTCATAATAAGTAAAAGCTTATTTAGAATTTTATTGTTGTGGGAGGAAAAATAATAAAAAATATGAATACAGTTGTTTAGATGCGTGAGTTTATTATTCATACAGTTCTTATAGAAAGTCTGTTTTATGTCTGAGCAACTGATTATAATTTACTTGTATTTTTTCTTTTCCCATAAAAGGTTAAGAGAAAAAAATCATACGTTTAATATGAATCTTTATTTAATTTGTGTGAAATTTTGTATTAAGTTAGATATATATTACTTGTTTGATCAACATTTATGTCCCTTAATTTTCAAATCCAAGTACAAAGTGTGAAATTAAATGTAGGTTTTAAATCCATGTGCATTATGTTTTCTCTACATACATACTTTAGTAATGAAAATACTTTAAGACTGAATAAATTTTAAAATAATAATTTGTATATTTTAAGACGCTTATGAACAAATGATATATTTTGTTCTTATTTCAATAGGCGATTAGATAAAAGACCGAAAATAAAAACTAAATTATGATTGCTATGCTCATTTATCACAGTGTCACCAGATCGCGTCCTCAAGTATTTCTCTGAAGGAAATGGCCTTTTTTGTTGAAAACTGTTCCATCTATGTCAATGCAAGGATACGTTTCTAGAGTAATAGAAATATTATCTAGGCCGTTGGAAATATGGTTGTCGATTTTTCACGTCGTCTATTATGACTTGTGGATGGTCGTAGAAGGGAACGTATCGTTTAAACATTTTGAATTGAAGAATAAGGTTATCAATAAAAATGTGTACGATCATGTTATTTTATTCATGAAATAAATTTTTAACGTTTATTTCTTGAAATGATATATTTCATATTTTGTTCATTTTTATAACTAGCTTTAGAGGAAGATTTCCAGACTATGATTTTCTAAAGTAATTAATATAATTTAATAACATGTGTTTTAAAGGTAACTCAGCAATATAGGTGCGTCGTTAAGATAACATGTGAAATTTATAGACCCTTCTACCCTACATGAAGCCAAGGACGTTCTTTTTAGTAACAACGCTTTGAAACAAAATAGTACCTCTAATTAGGAGTGACTTAAATTCACGTTCGTTTTACAAAATCTGAAGAATAATTCAACTTCACTTTTTGTGGTACTTAGCATTAAAAAAATCTTATTTTCCAAATAAAGCCACAACCTCACCCGAGTACACAAATTTGAGTAAAATCAGTTAAAATTTCTACTACATAGACAATATCCATCCCTTTTTACACTATTTTTAGTAAGTAATGTGAACTTTTATTTATGTTTGTGTAATTTGATAGTAAGATTCACATTAAGATATAGTTTTATGAAATAAAGCTTCAGAACCAATCTCGGTAACAAGTTTGATTTAAGTTTCTGCTGTGGTTACGCAAACTTTATCTCTTTTCTGTGAAAATAAACTTCTCAAAGATGGTGCTATCGTATGTGCATTTGATTGATCTCTCTCGAATAAATATTATTACTAAGCCTATAAAAACGAAGTTTAATGACTAGAAGAGTCCTTGTCATATAATTTGTATATATATTTTAATATTTCAGTTCTTCAAGATTACTTTATGTATTTATATTTTTGATTTAGTAATTTGTTTAAGAAGATGAATAGATACGTTTATGAAAGAATAAAGATTTTTTAGTCTTTATATTTCTAAAATACAAAATTACAAAAGCATTTCGTCAGTTAAACATTGTCGGTAATTTTAAATGATATTTAAGTTAGGTAAGATTTTGTAAAAATGTACTTTTAACGAGTACTGTACGTTTTTTTACTTTAGTAGTAAAATATATATAAATGCATCACAAACGTTTTTAAGCTTGCAAAGAAACATAATATTTGAACTCGTTACCCGGACGTGAAATTATGTCAAGTTAGCTGTGGTTGTCATAATTATAAAGTTCATGTGCCGAAAGCATTATCATAATTTTGCAAATTTAAGCATAAGTGGGCGTGATCACGTCACACAAGTAGAAACTCGGTTTGATTACAATATAACATAAAGTCGTCCAAATTCTACCGTTGCGGCAAAAAGTAATTAATTATTATGTTTGTGCCGATGAAAATATAAGTTGCGTAATTGTTTTTGGAAAATTATAACATTATTATTTATTGTAGAACGTAAAAGAAAACTATATGGTGCCTTATTTTTTATAAATTAGTGTATTTAAATGTTTAATCGAAAAATGCAATTAATATTGCCTAATTATTTTTGCGTTTCCAGGCATTCAATGTATGTTTTTATGTGAACTGAAACAAAGAGCCGTAGTACAAGAATTCAAACGATTCATATAGTTTAAATGAATACTATAAATTACTCTACGTGATTTTGATTTCGTTTACTTAGTTATTTCAAAAGCGTTTCCTAGTTTTGGTATATTTTAAATAAACTGTCGGAACTCTTAAATTTTATACCCAACATTTTTTATGAATCCAATTTGCTCTGTGACTGCGACATTTTTTACTCGACATTTGGTGAATAAAATTTCAACCTACAATATAAAGATATGCAAAAATACATATTTTATCAAGCCCAGATGTTATATTTTATTCAATTGACTATAATAGCCATTATGTGTAAAGCAATTAGAATAGCGGTTTTCCTTCTCTTTAAATATTTTATTTCCATTAATGTTTTAAATTATTCTCTTCATAAACCGCTGACTCGTTTAAATCATTTAATGTACATGAACGAGCCTTTTTTATTATTTATATAACATGTAATTGCAACAACCGTGTACACGAACTTCATACAAAAAATTGTTTTGAAGCACGACACAAAAAAGTGCCATATATATTATAAACTGATAATTATTTCTGAAATATAATTGAAAACGAAAAACTTAGTTATGTTTTCAATATCAATAAAATAACTGCATCAAAATTCTAAGATGATATGGCTCTCTTTTCATGCTTTCGTAATATTGGTTTGTATTTTTCACATATTAATATTATTCTGTCAACCAATATTCAGAAAAAAGCCTTGAAAATACAATTCAACATCAATGTGTACCAAATATTATAATTTTATTTTGCTTCAATGATAATATACATATTTAACTGATTGTAAATTTTTATGTAGATTTTATTACCCGTTCATGAAATTGTTTTTTTTATGGTCATATTATAAAGGTGTAATTTTCTTCGCTATATTATTTAATTATATCTTAGCGTTTAGTGCAATTACTTGATGTATGAATACATAATGGATGATTCTAATATTTTCTATAGGACATCTATTTTTTTTATACTATTTTATCCAAACTTACTAAAACCATGAAAATATAAACGACTTATATTAATACTAAATTGTTTATTTTGATTTAATTTATAATGGTATAATTGAGTTTGGTGAAAAGTTGTTTAACTTTAGCGGTTGCTTTGACTTACCAAAATAGCAACAAAATTTATTGGAATCGAGAAAAGTCGCAATTAAAATTCTATGCTGCATGCTGACTGACTGTCAAAAGGGAATTGCATGGCAAAATGGTTATGGATTTCAGAAAGGGTACATGAAACGAAATGCAACACTACCATAGAAAGAAACTTCTACTAAAAGAAGTCCGTTTTCAATTTCATAGTATGTAATATTTCAGATGAAACATAATTTTATATATTTTATACTTTTATACAAATACTATTTTATTATTATTTTATTTGATGTTTAGGTTCATATAGGATTTTGATCTTTTCAGTTGAATAATTCACTTTTATTTCTTCTTTAACTCCTTCTAGGTTATAACTACGATCTTAAAACAAAACTTTTTGTTTTTAGACTAGTATTTTACCAACACGATGCTTACACAAGGTATTTAAATAATATTACTTAATTAAATTTAAGTGTAAAAGCTGATTCGGGATCATATTCAAGAGATTTACAGAAACCATAGGTGTAATTTTATTATTTTGGGTTCAGTTTACATACTTATCCTGGTTACTTTAAGTGAAGTGAAAAAATCTTTTAAAATTGTATTTGATATTCATACTGAGAAAATTATATACCCTCACATGAAGTTGTAACATTTCTCTTTGTTAATAACATTTTACGTTGATCCACAATCCTCTATCATCAAATGTCTATACCGATTTAGAACCATCCTCTCATAGAATATTAACAAAAAGTATCTCAATAGAAATCTAGACTCCCAGAGTTCGACAGAGTTTCCTTACAATAAAACTCTGTTATTTTTATTTTTTCATTTTGATGAAAGGAAATTATTAGTATATAAATAATATGCATTAATTATATAGAATATTCTTCATTAAGTGTACCTTCAAAATGAATTTAGATAAAAATAAAATACAACAATTTTAAATCAATTCCCTAAACAATATATTCAGAGATATCTTATAATCCTTTGTTACACAAATATTATACTTCTTAAAGTTCAATTGTTTTGTCGGTCATGGTTTCTGAAGAAAGTATTTAAATTTCAGCGAATTATGAATAAATAAGCGCCAACGGTCTGGATGACAAATTATAAAAGGGTGTTAAGTTGTTTAATTTACATTAAGAAAACTACGAGACAACAAAGAAATGAATGCATTTTTTTACTTTTATTGCTCGTACAAAATGTATTCCACTAATACAACAAATATGTACATATATTTGTATACATATTTCATTATAATTATATATTAATCGGCCACAAAACAACCACTTTTTTTTATAAAAACATTATAAAGCTTATGTTTCACATTACTTAGGCATATTATTAAATTGCAAAGAAAATGCAAGTTATTAGTAGGAGTTATTTAAAAGTCACTTTTTTTATTAGTAATATCATTATTACTTAATTGTCATCAATTTGCGACATGTTTAGAATAATTGAGCAATAGACGGAAAAATTAAAGTGCTTTGTGAGTAGTTTGAGCAATAAAGTTGTAATTATTTGTAATATATTTAAATTTATATAAAAAAATGACACATATATAAATTTCATGAAACAGTATTTTCAGGTAGAAAAAAGTTACAAGTGATTTTTGCATATAAAATGATGGAATCTGACCAAAAAAAAAATAAAGTATTTTTTGTATGGCAACATTCTTCTATAATTTCTTGGATGATTAGCGATTATTTTCTTATATACAGAACTTACCGAGTTCGCGGATTGTGGTTCTGGCTCGTGATGATACGACAAATGTCGCATTGGACCCGCCATGCCGAAACTAGAGCAGCCTCAACGTAGTTAACAGATTAACTTCATGTACATCTATCATATTCTTAACTCAAATGTTTTGTATTCAAGATTTTTGTAGTTAATATTCATTTGAAGCACTTAATAATATTGAGGTAAAACTAACTAAGATTGATATTTTTATAATGATATTAATTTTCCTGAACGTCACAAAATCTGCAAAACAGAGGGTACTGTGAATTATTTTTCTACTCGGGACAGTAATTTGTTTTGCGAAAATGTCGTCGTTCATTTTATTTCAACGATAAATTTAGTTTTATCATCAACACAACAAAAACCTAAGTCATTAAAAATATACTTTTGAAATTTCGGTTTTAGAGAGCAAATTATTTTAAAATTTTTCAGACTCATTCAGCATTGACTGGAAATTAACAATGACGTTAGGAAAACCTCATTAGTGCTAATTGAGGTAACTTTAACCCGTTGTTTTTGAACGGTTAACCCGGGAGTCTTGTCATAAGCAGATTAGGGCGATTTATCTAACTATAATTAATAAGGTATCTATAAGGATTAAGGTTCACTGTTTCCGAGCTTTCGAACACCTACTAAGTCCTTAATTATAATAGTCTTTGAGTAATGTAATGTACGAAATATATAATATATTTTGAAGTAATTTATCTGAGATAAATAACAAAAAACAATCTCTAAAAGTTGAAGCAAACTTGATATTGATTAATATTGTTACGATATATATTATATAGTAACAATATTAATTACCAAAACGTCAGCCGCGTCACGCCTCTAGCGTGTATTACGAGTGCCATGTGAGGAGCGGCACTTGACAAGCCGCGAGACAGGCTGGCATGGCTGCCAGCGCCCGACTGCCGACTAGCGACTGCTGCTAGCCTGCCGCCTACCCACTACCGCAGACCCGCGCACTAGCCGTAATGATTGACAAAATGCTTCACCTGTGTTTTCTTAGGGAAGCTCGCAAACATAAATGTGGCGGGAAATATATCAATGTTGATATCGATGTAGATAATTGAATTCAATAGTGATGTGTGACCTCATTTTTATGATTACTATTGGTTTTTTTTGCCAAGTTGATTGCGTTATGCGTAGTAAAAATATAACATTAGTCAATCCAATTTTATATTGATAAATAAATGTAAGTGCAATGTTTTATATTGTTTTATATATTCTTTTTGTATGTCACTTAGCAGTATTGAGTATTTGATTTTATACTATTACTTCAATGAAGCTTTATATAAAAAAAAAAATGAGTTATGATCTACAGTAATTATTATTTACATCTTGATTGTCAACTCTTTACTATATTCATATGGGCCATAGAATTGAAAAAAAAAATAGTTGGTGATTGAAATATCTGCAACGAAAATGTCATGTCAGTACACGATCTCCGGCTGCAGCATACACTGGAACATAATACGTTAATTTTGTATGAACCAATGAATACTTTTCTTTACCCTATCACGTTGAGATGTAAAAATAATAAATAAAACGTATATTAGTGTAAAAAGAAAAGCTCCGAAGGTCCTATTAATATCAATTAATTTTGCAGTAAGCGAAGTTATAAAGCCTGTTTAGATTTTAAATAAACTCTGGAATCATTTTATGAGATCGTGCCATTGGCGCTCAACAGTATTGCATTGCTTAACGATATCAATTGAATTCTGCATTTCATTCCACACGAGCGATCCCTCGGATAAATACCTAGGCATTTCGTTTCAATATAAATAATTTTATGATACGATAAAGTAAAGGTCAATTTATATTAGTCAAAATATTGACTTGACCAAAAAATTTTCGTTATTAATTAAAGGTTAATTTTTTCCTATAATATAAAATTGATTGAAACTTCGCGGAATTTTTTGTTCGACGCTGTTTTTAATCTTACTTTTAATGGTTATTCTTTTTTATAAGTTTGTATTTTTCCTTGACAATATTAACTATATTGTCAAGGAAAAATAGTTATCATTATGGCAATTTTGTGTAGCTAAGTAAAAACGTAATAATTATATATTAATAGTAAATCAATGTCTAGAAACACACATAAAACTATGAATGGATCTTTTATATAAAAAACCAGATATGTTATATAAATGTGATTTATGATAAGTTATGGGCATATTGTTTGTTTTAGTCCTAACATTCGTGTCCGCCGGCGAAGCTGCGAAAGCTAACTGGTATTAATTAAAACTTTCCTTATATCATAGAACATGCTAATTAGAAATAGTTCGGTTTTGATACGTATTAGAAACACTGATTACTTAATTTGATAACGAATGAATATAAATGAGATACGACACTCTCTAAAAGCTGTTTCATAAATCAAATTACTAAACTAAATATCAGCTACAGTCTATAAGGATTAACAAAAACAAAAGTATTAGTTGCTGAGATTCCTATGTCGAATTTTAATAATAATAACTAATCTGAAAGACAATATTTCTTTGATTGACTTCTGTATTTATTGTTATCAAGAAAAACAAAGTGTTCTATTTCACTTCTAATGAAAGCAGGTTCATAAAGCGATAAGATCAAATAACGTGACATCGCTCCAATGTTTCGTTTAATTATAATCTTGATAGCGGAGAAACGAGAACATTATAAACACGAATCATTTTAATGAAATTTAATATATTATTACAATATTTTTATTTATTTCATTTGAAATATTATATTACTTTTATTTTATTTGTAAACGTTACGCCTGACCAATACGGTCACAGGTTTGTGTTAATCATTTCATAGTCCTATGGAGACGTTCTGAAGTAAATTTCACGTCATCAATTTTAATCCAAATTTCATTTCGATTTTCAGAGATTGGAAATTACATTTATTACGTTCTCACGTACGTTTAAAACAAGATTACCCTCAGACGCGTCAGCGATTTCATCAGCTGCAATAAAATTGCATTAAACTTCAAATTGAACACATCCAGGGGTTTATCAATATTAAAATGTAATTGGAAATATTATGAGATGCTTAAGATACTCACTTACTTTACTATAAGCATTCTAATATATAGTGTATCGAATATTTTTAATAGGATTCCATGTCTACTTTTTATTTCACAGACAAAATGATCTGTCTAATTACCTCTATTAAAATCCTTTGGTATTTAGGGTCATCAAAAGAGAAACTGAAATTTATGTAGATTTGATACTTCCACTAGCATACGATATTTTTATATGACTAAGGACGTATGAATAATAAACCTTGGACTAGGGCATTCTGTTGATGGCGTCGGGAAGTGACGAATCCATCGCCCGCCGGGTAACCGGCGCAGTCAGTCACGGGGAGGGGGACCTTGGCCCTCTTTTGGGGTCTTGGTCAGGGCTGGGGGTTCAGCCCGATGAATGGAAGGTTTTTATGAATGTGGATGGATGCGGAAATGAAAGGTTTATGAATGTGGATGGATGTATGGTGATGGATGGGCTTTTACGGCCCCTAATCTTTGACTTCGGTGTTCGGTCTTGGGATGCATGGCGAGCGGGTGAGCTCGTCCTAAGAACACCACCAACAAAAAACTTATGAAATGGCGTCTTGTGGAAAAAAACTACCCCAGGAGGGTCCCAGCCACCAAGTGGTTGGGGAATCCCTCACCGGTACGCCGGTCAGCCCCTCGTATTCTGGGGGGGGCAGCAAACGCCTGGAGGGTCCTTCCTCTAAGGGCCCTCTGAGACGAGGTGCAGTGGGCACGGACTCTGGCGCGACTAACGGAAATGAAATGCTGACACGGACTGGATCTGACGACATGGCGCTCTTGACGGACTCCGATACATTACGGAAAGGACTTGTTGCGAGATCGGACACTGACGACACGGCATGTTTAACGGACTTGCGGAAGAGATCTGATGGAGGTGAGAAGCGAGCTATGACTCCTTCTGCCCTACCTCCTCGCGTCTTAAGGGGTCGCTTCCTAAAAACGAAGGAAGGCTCTTCTAAGGGCCACTCTGGGGGGGACTCGGACACTGTCTCAAGGCCGGTCACCCCCACTCCCGGATTTGGACCTAGAGACGACGACGGGTCGATGTCGGATGCCTCCATGCATTCAACAGTCTCGACGGTGACTGCGACGCCTATGAAGAGGCCCAGCACCGTCCTGTATGGAGAATCGGACGCAGAGAACCCCGCGGGCGCTGTTGCTAAAAAGAAGCCGGCTGCTCGTAGGGGTAGGGGCGCACGTACCCCTTCGTCTGCGTCCGTGAGGCCCGCTGCCAAAACGGACTTGACATCTGCTTCTGAGGAGGAGCCTTGCCCCGGCCCCTCTTACAGAAATGCCTTGGTTGGGACGGCTAGGAGCTCCTCTACAAGCCCTAGGCCCACGATAAACTCCCTGGACCGACAGGAACTCAGGTCCCTTGCCGACCAGTGCGTTGTTCGACTTTTTAACGTCGCGAAAACGTCGAACAACCTCAAGGGGCCCTATGTCAGGGACATCAAGGAGGCCGCCCAAACTATGAGCGACATAGTTGAGATGCTCGCTAATCGGACGGCCTCGGAGGAGTTGCGGCGCTTGTGGGCAAACAATGCTCGTCTCGAGAACGAGAACGAGCACCTGAGGACCGAACTCAGGGCCCTCAGGAGGGACTTCTCTGAAAGGAAGAAGTCCCCTGCCCGTGAGCCCGCGCCGGCGACAGAGCCTCCCCTCGGCATCTCGGATATGCTGGGAGAGCTGCAGCGGGCATTGACTCTCACCATGGGTGAGATGATCAATGCTCGCATCGCTGGCCTGGAGGACCGCCTTCTTCCGGCGAAGAGGGTCCGTCCGCCACTACAGGCGGACTTAAGGAGGGAGGTGGAACCGGTGGCCGGGCCCTCCAAACCAGCCGCAGCCCAAGCGGCGAAGAAGGCGTCTTCGAAGAAGGACCCCGGTCCCAAGAAGGGCCCTGCTCCAGCGCAGGCCAAGAAGGCCCCGGCGCAGGCCAAAAAGGCTCCGGTGCCGCCCAAAAAAGGATCGCAGTCGGCCAAGAAGGCTGGTCCTAGTGCCACCACATCCCCTCCGTCCACCGTGACGGACGAGGCGCGTGGTGAGGCCTGGACGACGGTCACCCGAAAGGGTAAGAAGAAGAAGAAGCCGTCGTCCGGTGCCAAGCAGGCTCAGCCGGATCCCTCCGCCGGTAAGGTCAAAAAGAAGGAGGTGAAGCTGACCCCCCCCAAATCGTCCGCTGTGTCCATTACACTGACACCGGAGGCCACAGAGAGGGGGGTCACTTACCAGCAGGTGCTAGAGAAGGCACAGAGCGCCATTGACCTGGGGCAACTTGGCATTGGCGCTCTGAAATTCAGGGTGACCAGCACCGGGGCCCGCATGTTTGAGGTCCCGGGCATGCAGAGCGGGGAGAAGGCCGACCTTCTCGCGGAGAAGCTGCAGGAGGTCGTTGGAGAGGTGGCCAGGGTACGGAGGCCAGTGAAGACTGCGGACCTCCGCATCACTGGCCTCAGCGACGCCGTTACACCGGACCGCATCGCTTCAGCGGTGGCCGAGAAGGGAGGATGCCCTACTAGTGCGATCAAGGTGGGCCCTGTCCGCATGGGACCTCGCGGTCAACGGTGGGCGCTAGTCGTGTGCCCAGTCACGGGCCGCGAAAAAGTTGGTCGGCGGGGGGCCGCTCAGCATCGGATGGGGCTCGGCGAAAGTCCAAGCACTTGAGCCTCGCCCGATGCGTTGCTTTAAGTGTATGGGCACAGACCACACCCGGTCCACGTGTCCATCACTATGCGACAGGAGCGACTTGTGTCACAGGTGCGGTGTCGCCGGGCACAAAGCTGCCGGATGCCTCGCACCCGCCAGGTGTGTTGTATGCGCCGAGGCGGGCCGACCGTCAACGCACACCATGGGGGGAAGGGCTTGCCGCCCACCCCCAACTAAATCGAAGGCAGCGAAAAGAACCGTCGCTGCCCCGTGCCAGGTCGAGCCCCAACAAGGGACACCGGAGGTTGTGATGAAGGAATCTTGATGGCTTGCAATCACAATCTCCTTCAGGGCAACTTGAACCACTCCGCCGGTGCACAGGACCTTTTCCTTCAGCACCTGGTGGAGTGGCAGATCGGTCTGGCAGTGGTCGCGGAGCCATATTTTGTCCCCAATGACCACCCGAATTGGGCAGGGGATGTGGACGGCCTCGTGACCATAGTTTCGGGGGGAGGAGCTGGCAGTCCTTCTCTCGTCCTCAAAGAGTCGGGGCGGGGCTACGTGGCCGCCACTTGGGGAGGGTACGCCTTCGTTGGCGTGTACTTCTCCCCCAACAAGCCCCTGGCGGCCTTAGAGGCCTATCTTGAAGCCCTAGGTCCCGTGGTCAGGAGACTGGCTCCCTTGCCGGTCTTTGTACTCGGGGACTTGAATGCTAAGTCCTCCAGCTGGGGCAGCGCGGTCACGGATCCACGTGGGAGAGCGGTGGAGGAGTGGGCCGCTGAATTCAGCGTGACTCCGGTCAATCGGGGCACAACCCACACGTGCGTGCGTGCGCAGGGCGGTTCGGTGGTGGACGTCACGTTCGCCACCCCTGTTGCTGCGCGCCGTGTGAGGAACTGGCGTGTCCTCGACGTGGAGACACTCTCGGACCACAATTACATAAGGTTCGAGATCTCCACGTCCCCCCTGCTCCGGCCGAGAACTCCCTCCAACGTGTTCTGACGGCCTCTCCGCGGTGGGTTTCTCTCTCGGCTGGACCGGCAACTGGCCGAGGAGGCCGCAACCGTCCAAGCCTGGTGTACTCCCTCCATCAGGCCGATGGACCCCGACTCCGCCGCGAGACGCCTCCGCTCTGCGCTGACGGCGGTGTGCGATGCGTCCATGCCCCGGGCGCGACGCCGCCCTCAGAGGCGGGCGGTGTACTGGTGGTCAGCGGAGATTGATGCGCTTCGGACCACCAGCAATAATGCAAGGCGACAGTTATACCGCTGCCGCCGTCGCGCCCGCAGGGATGTAACCGAGGAGGCTTTCCTCGATGAGCGGTACCGGGCGGCTAAGGCGGCCCTACGTACAGCCATCAGCGGGGCCAAGGCCGCGGCAAGGGAGAAGTTGCTGGAGGATCTCAACCGTGATCCATGGGGGCGCCCGTACAAACTGGCGCGGAAGAAGCTCCGCGTCCAGTCGCGCCCCATATCGGAAACCCTCCAGCCAGAGTTTCTGGACCGGGTCATCGGTGCTCTTTTCCCCTCCGACGGCTCGGACCACACTCCTCCAGAAATGGTCCCCTCAGAGGCTCAGGCAGAGGAGGACGATTTGGAGGCCCCTCCTGTCACCTCTGATGAATTGGAAGAGGCAGCGAGGTGCCTCTTGACAAAAAGGACGGCCCCGGGTCCAGATGGGGTCCCTGGCAAACTGGTAGGGATCGCCCTTAAAAGACTCGGGGATCAGTTTCGGGAAGCGTTCGATACAGCTCTAATTTCCGGGCGCTTCCCGAAAACGTGGAAGGACGGGGCGCTGTGCCTCCTTCGTAAGGACGGTAAACCGGAAGACTCCCCGTCCGGTTACCGTCCGATCGTCCTTTTGAGTGAGTCCGGAAAGATCTTTGAGCGAGTGCTCTCTTTCCGGCTCACTCAGCACTTGGGTGTCGACGGGCCCGGACTGTCAGACTGTCAGTTCGGGTTCAGGGCAGGGCGTTCGACACTGGACGCCCTATCTGCCCTGAAGTCGCACTCAAAGGAGGTTGTCGCGCGAGGGGGCAGGGCGTTGGCCGTCTCAATAGACATCTCCAACGCCTTTAATAGCCTCCCCCATGCAACCATAATGGAGGCACTCCGCCATTTCAGAGTGCCTCCCTACCTCCGGAGGATCTTGGCAGACTACCTCCGGTATAGAGAGGTAGTCTGCACTGGTGCTGGTGGAAGGAGTTTCCGCCGCCAGGTGTTGTGTGGGGTTCCACAGGGGTCGGTGCTAGGTCCACTCCTGTGGAACATTGGCTACGACTGGGTGTTGCAGGGTGCGCTGCCACAAGGTGTACGCGCCCTGTGTTACGCAGATGACACCCTAGTCGTAGCCGAAGGAAGGACCTTCGGGGAGGCGGCGCGACTGGCCGAGGAAGGTACAGCCTTAGTCGTCAGTCGCATCCGCCTCTTAGGCCTGAAAGTGGCCCTAGAAAAGACCGAGGCCCTCATGTTCCATGGGCCTCGGGCAGGGCCTCCTCCGGGCGCGCACATTGAGATCGGTGGCGTGCGCGTCCCAGTCAAGGCCCAGATGAAATATCTGGGCCTGACGTTGGATGGGAGGTGGGGGTTTGAGGCACATTTCCGCGTCCTCACCCCCAGGTTGGTGGCCGCCTCAGCAGCTCTAGGGCGGCTTTTACCCAACCTCGGAGGCCCGAACGGGGGTTGCCGGCGCCTGTACGCCGGCGTCGTTCGTTCCATGGCGTTGTACGGTGCCCCAATTTATGCCGACGCCATCACCGCCACCAATAGATCGCTGCTCCAGCGTGCACAGCAGATCGTGGCGGTGAGGATAATCCGGGGCTACCGTACAGTGTCGGCGGGAGCGGCCTGCGCCTTAGCCGGAACGCCCCCTTGGGACCTCGAGGCGAAGGTCCTGGCCGCTATATACGAGGCTAGGACGGCGGCCCGGAGGGAGAACCGTCCTGCGACGAACGAAGAGCTGCTCCAAGTGCGCCGCGACGGCGAGGCGGAGATGCACAGGAGGTGGACCATGGCTCTCCAGGAGGCGAAGTACGGCCGGTGGACGATCGACGCTCTACTCCCCGTCCTCGAGCGTTGGTCGAGGCGCAAACACGGCGTCCTCACCTACCGGCTGGTGCAGGTTTTGTCCGGACATGGTTGTTTCGGACACTACCTGCACAGGATCGCTCGGCGAGAGCCGACGATGGAGTGCCACCACTGCGGAGACGTTGATGACACGCCACGGCACACCCTCGAAGTGTGCCCAGCCTTCAGTCGTCAGCGTCACGACCTCACGCAAGTGGTTGGCACCGACCTCGCGCTCTCGAGTATCCTGGCGTCGATGCTCGAGAGTGAGGAGAACTGGAGGGCCATGACCTCCTTCTGCGAAGTCGTCCTGATGCAGAAGGAGGAGGCGGAGCGGGTCCGAGAATCTAACATCAACTCGGACCAGATGCGCCGCCGCCGCCTCGGGGTGAGAAGGAGGAGGTACGCCCACCTCCTTCCGCCCACCTAGGAGGTCAGAGGGTGGACTGGTCGGGGGACCGTCCGCCCTGCTGTCACTGGCCTCCTGGAGGAAGGGCGCTCAAGTTTACCGGAGCGCCCTCACATAGGGAGAGACCCGCCTTAGGAGCGGGTCGCTGTCGCCGGGGCTACGAGGTAGAATGCGCAAGCGACCCCTTGTAGTCCCCTCATAGCGGCTGAAGGTAACCGGGTGGGTTTTAGCCGGTAAGAGTCCGGCATAATCACACGCCCCCCCCGGGGCGTGTGGTATCCATGAGGATTTCCCACCCGTTAAAAAAAAAAAAAAAAAAAAAAAAAAAAAAAGGGCATTCTGTTGAATCTAAATTTATTAATTCTATTCTTATCTGTTTTAGCTATTTTTAAAAAAGATACAGTTTATAGACCAGATTTCAAATTAACCCTTGTGGATTGATCAATGTGCGAGAGAATCTAGCTGTCAATGGAAAACAGTTTCTATTTTTGATACTTTGCGATAGCATGCAACTTTTGCAGCAATTTTTCAAGGAGAGTGGCGTGCAGTAGATAGTTGCTGTAACTTCGTTTATTGTATAAACTAATGTCCTGCAACCCCCAGATTTTCCCTTTTCACTGTCGGAACAAAATTATTGATGTTTATAAACATAAACACCCACCATCAGGTAGATCGGTTGTTTGTTTGAAGAACTAAAATTTGAATAAATTAGTGAAAATACCTTTCCGCACTGCCTTTGATTGAATCGATTCTTGATATCTTCAATGAAACAAAAGATAATTAGAAATAAATAAAGCTAAAATTAAATAACTTAAAGAAGTTAAAACTTTAAAAAGTTTTCAACGTACGTTTATTAGCATAAAAAATTTAAGAAATATTATGTCATTTCCGCAATTTCCTCAACCAAAACAGTTCGAGATTTGTTATTAAAAGTACAGTTTTTTTAATTTAGCTAGAGCATAAATAGTCATAATTTAATTTTATTATAGATAACAATATAAATGTCAAAATATAAATAAAGTATACAGGCACTAGGTAGGTTATTATTTTAAATGTTACCTCACTTTGTAAGCTGTTCTCTGTTAAAGGGATAAAATTATTTATAGTTTGAATTGTTTCAACGCTCGACCTTGTTATTCACGAGGGAGAAAGAAGATGAAATATACATTTTTTATACCCTAGCTCCTTCTATCTTTGCATTAAAAAGTCCAAAATTGTAAGCACGTTTATAAGATTTGTTTCTTTTTATGTTGCAAAAGTTATCATGTAAGTTTCAGATTATTTGAATTGAATTGGTAATATAATTACATTATATATAAGACTGAGGTTATTGGTTGTTGAATTATATGAATACTGGTTAAGATTAATTTTGCCTGAAAATATTATTTTAACTAAATTATACATTAATATACATTATATAACTTAAAACTTATATAGCCTAGAATAGTTACATTTGATGCTTTCATTACATTAGTATCTCTGACTTAGTTCTGGTTTAATTTAGGGAAGACCCATATTAACCCACATACATTAAGTACATGTATGTTTTATTACTTTATACCTTAAATGCAAAATAACAATGAGAAATTATTGCGTAAATTTAGTATTTACTTGTGAGTGACAATTATCTGATAAACTTCTTATACGATGCTTTATCGGTTAGTCCGTTCTTATCCCCCTAAATTCTAAGTGAACACACTGACAGCCGAGATTACCTTATTATTCATACTTGTTAAACTCTGAAAGCAGCCGATTATGAGAAGATTTATAACTGTCTGAACTATTGGGAACAGTTCAATTTAAAAGCATTATTCACTCTGGATTATTAAATTGAAATAGATTTACCATGTTGCTTTTAAGCCCGACAAATAAATATTTGACAAATTGATAGCCAATGACTATAAAGATGAACATTTCCAATTTACAGGAGCTTTAAAAATAGTCGTTATTTAAAATAACGGGGAGTAGATAAAGTGATTAGTAATTTATCAAATGAGTGAGTGAAACCTTTATATGCCTATCATTTAATAAAGTAGGCCAAAAAGAAATAATGTGGAAACAGCTCGTTAATCCCGTAAGTAAAGCAACCTAAATAATAACCACATTGTAGTACTTATGCCGAGTCAGCTAAAATACGCTTGTTCCAATACTATTATCGTGCCGCTTTATGACATGCAACACCAACATTTTTCATTTTATATTTAAGTAGTTCTTCTAATAATTGCTTCGTAACAAATTTAGTTTACACGAGAATTTTTCTTTTTAATTAGATTATTACAATTTTTATTTTCAATAATAAAATATACAATAACCTTAATCGAAACATTAGCGAGAAAATAATAATATTGATTTTAATACGTAGTTGTTTAAGTATTTTATTTTCATAAGTTAAGATTATAACACAATATCTACTTATTTTGGTTAAAAACTCAAGAAGGAAAGGTAAAAAAAAAGGGTAATAAGATAAATTATCCAACCAGTTAAGTTATCTAGCCTAACACAATGGTTATTACTTTAGTCATAGGTCCAACAAATAACAGAAGTCAAAACTCTTTTAAACATTATAAATCTAAAAGATATAGATTGTATAGTTATAAATGGTGTACGAGACTTCCTAGATTTAATAATTTATTTACGACTAAATCTAAAATAAACAACAAAGCTCTAATTGAACAATGTTTTGAGGTTGTTCATATGAAAATGATATATTTTCAATCACAAAGCTATTTCAGAATGGAGTTAAATTTAATAAACCAACTTCAACACCCACTAGGCCGGCCGAGGGTGGAGTCGAGTCAGTGATGTGGAACCAGGTACATCCAGGTCGAGTAATCAAACAACGAGCGCAATTTGTGAAGCTCGCTGTGCTTTATAACTAGTGATCTGAAAAACATCACTGGTAACACGAGAGAACTATAATACTGTTTTGTTAATTAATATAGAATGAATCAAGCTTTTTGATAAGGAAATAGTTAGTGCAAGAAAATAATAAGTTTTAAAACTACATGCAAGCAATTAAAATCATGAATCGGAAAGCAGATTACATTTTTGTTTGATCTATACTGGCACTGTCACAGAATCTAGAAATACAAATTTAAATACTAATAACGGGGCTTTAACTTCAATATTATTTGGTCTACAAATGCAAAGAAACCTTTATTCAATATATTAATGCTTTTCACATTTCACTTACGACATAATCTGGTCAGAATTTTACCCCGCATATTTAAAATTGCCGTTAGGGGACATACAAATTCATTATTGACTAAACAGAAAAAGGTCTTCTTAGAATATGAGATGATAAAAATGTTATAACGTTTGAAACGACGTAAAGGAATATAAAAAACTGTCCTTACCGTATCGAACCTTGTTATTGTAAAGTGACCTGAGAAAATACTTCAAAGTAAAAATAGGCGCAGTAAGTAATTTAAAATTAGCGATAACATTTCGTCATCCCTCATTTTATTATTAAAGGGGTCATTTAACAGAAATTCTATAATTATAGTTATATACGTGTTGTAACGGCTAAAATATTGTGATGTTTTAAATATGTTGTCAAAATTTTCAAGTCCGAGTAAATGAAGTTATCAAATCTTAAAACATATGCATCTACGCATGTGATATTTGTATAAGCACAACGCAACTTTAATAGCGCATCACTCAAATTCTTTCGTAATGAATTTATTTATTAAAATGAAGAATTTAAAGAAGGAAATTCTTTAAATTATAAAAATCTCATATCAAAACAACTACAATAAAGAAAACTATGAATATTATAAATTATAACATTTTAAATTGGACTTTCTTAGTTTTATAATGAAGTCCGTATAGTATGTGTTTATTAAAGTCACAGTCAATGATATGTATAGATATTTATAAAGTACTATAAAGATTTTAAGATTTATTAGAGAAAATCTTGCAAATATAAAAATATTTTTGAAAATTTGTTTCGCAAAATTTCAATTGCATGTAGTTTTAGAAAGACATTTTAATTAATTTATTGTTACTTATTTTGAATGCGAAATGTATTCTGCAATAATGCTAATGACCTGTTTGTTAAATTGACGAAATAGAATAATTAATTAAACATATATCATTCGAACTAGGTCGGAGAGAAGATTGGTTTTGTAAAACCGTTCTACCACCTACATGATTTTGGTAAAGTATAGCTTGTAAAGCTTTGAAAAGTAGTTTTACTTTATTATTACAATATGAAAATTTCTTTACAAGTGATGATAATAATAATGTTATTCAGTATAAACAGAGGTATGATTTTATTCAAATAAAATAAAATTGCTTGTAGAGAAAATTAAAATTATATATATTGTTTAACCCATTTTTTACTTTCTCATTTGAATAGAAAATTCATGAAAACACAAATTAAAATTCAGCTAATAAAGCCGAGGCCCCAATTCTGATGTCAAAATCTCAATTGCCTCAATGCAAGTTATCAATGGAGAACGCTCTATTCAAGTTTCATTCAAAGTAACTTGGGAGATTAAAAGACTCGCATAAAATTATTTTAAGAACATGAATCATATTAAAATTACTTCATATTTTTGTTTATTTGTAAATTATGTCTTACGTATATTTACAAAATAATCAATAATAACTAATAAAACCTTTATTCATGATTAACAAATCATGAATAAAGGTTTTATTACTTTATGTCTTCAATAATTTTAAAATAAATATACTACATTAGTCAACTTGCAATTGCGTTGCAATAGTGCAACAGTTATGATGAAAAACAAATCATCACTTTTAAAGGTACCACCACAACTATTAATCAAGGAAGTCCTTGCAATTGAACTTACTAAATTAAAAAGAAAAATTCCAAGAAAACGGAGGCATCTTCCATAAAACACACTAATTTTATTATAACTAAACAACGTTAAAAGTTTGCCTCGACTCGCCCGAGTCTTAGGTAACGTAACTGCGAGCGAGGATTCAGTTAAGTAGTTTGCCACTGCACTCGTCACTATTTGTACTTCTAATTTTTTACTTTCAGCATTTTAGTATTCAAGTATTTTGAGAACTTAATATTTATTATTGATAGAACAAAACCCGCAAACTATTTTAAATGTTAAATTTATGTTAAAATGTGGTAGAGATACCACCTGTGAGATAAATTATTCAATATTCCAGTTGTAGGTAGACATAAATGTCTCTATATTTCAGTAGGATATGTTTAAATTTTAATTTAATTAATGTAAAAATATGTCAATACATTACAAGAACTCGAGACTTACTAATATATTGAACGAGACGTGACAATTGAACAATATGTCCAAAATACAGAAATTATTGACGGAAAATAAAAAAATATTTTGAATTTATTCACGGATTAACATTAAATTATTATTAGTAAATACAAAAGTAAATTCTTTCTGATCCACCTACAGCGACATCTATCATGAGCGTTAGGAATCAAATAGTCTTAGGGTTGATTTTACTTACAGTAAGGATTATGTTATTCCTTTTCCTAGAGTTTAGTTGGTAAACTCACTAGATGTCGCTGTACCACATAAATTGGAAAATGTACAATTTTACTTTGTTAATAATGTGAGAATATGATAAGCCAATAAATTAACTGCTATTTTTATAACAAGTTTTTTTTTTGCATATTTATGATTATTCATACACATGCAATAGATTTAATTATCATTATTTTAATGTCAGCCTTTCAGCCTCATCTTGATTATTAAGTTAAGGCATTTCGTATAATTCAAAATTAACATAATAAATAATGACAAACAGAGTCATAGGCGTACATCGTACTTACCTGTTTAGAAATACTTAATAAGGTTATGAAAGATACTATAAAATTACTATCTTTTTTAAATACATATAGTATTTTCTATTTTTCTTAAAGTAGTTTATATATTTTCAGTTGGAATAGTATTTAAGACTTGTAGATTGTTGGGTGTATATCAATCAACGTCTGGCCACTTTAATTACGGGCCAATTTATTATCTTCAATAAAAACTCATGCAGCCAACCAGTTTGTGCTCGGATTTTATTTACACACGCTATTGGGTAAGTATTTAGACGATGGCTATACTCATAGTGAGGCAGACCTCTGGAGTATTGTTGTGTGGTTTTAACGAGTCAACCTTTTGATGCGAATCTTACTATAGATGTTCAATTTGTGTACTTATATTCAGAGAACAGTTAGGTGTAATAGCTTTGACAAATAAATAAAAAAATGGTAACTATAGTGATCATAGGCTTTTTTGCTTACAACATTAACAACAGCTTTTTGAATATGTTATTTTATTTATAACAATCTAAATATATTGTTTACAATAATAACCTAAAGATATTTGACTTTATAAAAATGTGTCTCAATTGATAGTAAAAGTCGTTAAATAATTTATGACGAGTACGACTCATATAACTCAAATAAATTATTCACATAACCATTATCCGTTTGAATATAGCCTTATATTTTATAACCATATGTTGCCACTTCATAAATCTGAAGGCTCAACTGAGTAAAGGACCTTAGTAAATTTAGTTGCGGCATTAAACATTTGGCAAAATCCTTGAATGCTTCGGATCCTCTCTTTCTTAATCCCTTAGTGGAACTGAGACAGATCCTTTGTTTGGAAAATAACCATTAGCTATTAGAACTAATAGGTCGAAAGATTATAGCTGTTATGTTAATAAACCGAATTAATTGGGGTTCGCTGCTTTAAGGTCAAAGGCAGTGAATTTTGTTTCATTTTACACATTCCTAGTACAGCTAATTTAAGATTTGTAACAATTGATTAAATTGTTGTAGGCAATTTAAAAAAAAAACTACTAGCCTAAGCAGTTACAACAAATAAGAAGTAGTTTAAAGATAATTAAATATGTTTGAAAATACGCTTAAGATATTGACCAAATTATAACTGAAATGTAGGTAAGTTTTACTTTTTAAATCAGTGTCTGCGCGTTGTAACTAGAATGCTACATATATATGAAATTCCACACGATTTTGTCAACGCCTATATCTTGTCAGCTGCCTGTACTCTCAGATGATAAATCGCAGCTTTCTCAGCAACCTGTATAAAGACTTAGACGACTGCTTATTTTAATGTCATCGAGACATATCGAATCTTAAAATCATTAATTATAATGATCATAATACATAAGCAAAAATTATTTATGTACCGACTTGATACTATTACTATAATTTTATATTTACTTTTATTTAGAACGTTTAAAGGCGGAGTGATCAAAATAAACCTAAATTTTGTATATTATAATTACGATATTTATTTTCGTTGTCAAAACACTTAGAAAAATAGTTTAAATTAAACTTAATTATTTTATTTTAATTTCACATAATATGTCTCTATTGTCTTTATTACTTTTTTAATAAAAGACACTATTTAATTTAAAACCATTTACAAGAGTCCAATTCAATATGATTAAAAATTTCAAACCATTAGCTGCAACATAACGTACATGTTACGTTAAAGTTAACGTCCTCATCACAAACTACGTCTCCTACAAATATAATTTACGTAGCTAATTCAGTTCCACAGCTAATCGGTAATTAGAGCATGATGTGCCTGCAACAATTCTGATATTGATACTTAGAGTAAATGAAATTATGACGAAGTAAATGAAAAACAACATCGAGAACAATGTTCATGTTAAATGTACATAAATAATTATTGTTAAAGCATTACTTATTTTTTAATAAATGAATTTTTATTTATTAGACATATTCCCAATTGCATTGTGAATTCAATATTAGTAGCAATCAAATTAATATTCAAAGAAGAGTAAGCTCGTTCAGGTTGCATCAATACCATTAACCAGTACGCGACAAATTTAAGAAATCATTGGTGGTAAGTAAATAAAAATCATGTTAATTGACAAAAACATTCATATCGTTAACCCGTCATCACGATTAATGTGAATAATAGAGAAGTCGAGTAAAATAAAAAATAATAAAATGATAGAAGTAAATACAAAAAATACCATATTATTGTTTATTAAACATCGTCCGTACTCTTTGTGTGAATATAATGTATTGTTATGTACCTATGTCAAATAAAACATTATAATGACTATACTTGTATGTGGATGTAATAATGTATAATATTTATCTCTCATGTCAATCTTAAGCATTATTAAAATCGGACAGATGATTGTTTCAGAGTTGTCCTTTTTATTATATGTGATATCATAAAATCCGGTTTAGTTGTCATATAAATTTACTTTAAAGACAACAACATTGAAACCTTTAACAGTTTATTTATGAATAACTTACAAAAGTTGAGTCCCGATTCTCGTAGGTTTATTGAGTAAATTCGGTTAAGTGTAAATTTCATGTAGCGGTCCGAATAATCGACCGAGAAGGACACATTCTGTCAATATTGATACCTGGAAAATGTACACTCTAATTCGAAGAGATTTGTTGAATTGAGCAAAATTCTCACCCTAAAAATAAGGTTTGGCAAAGTAACATAATAGGTTATTGACTTTTTTATAACACACTTAAACCTTTTGATCACATGATTAAAGGAATTTATTATATATTATTTAGTATATATTGTGCCCGTTAAATTGCTTTAAATATCGTATTTCACAAAAGCGATAAAGTTGTTTTTGTTGTTAATTGATGTTAAAAAATTACATTTAAGAAGGTTGGCTTATTTACCTATAAACAGTGAAAATATTTACATGTTGAAACCTCATTGAAATAAAGCACGCCTTTACAACAGTCTTTTGGTTTCAGTCAGAAAATGATCTGTAAGACTATCATACCACAGTCTAAAGGTAATTTCCTTGGTATGACAGACTTCGTAAAGAAATTTCCATCACCAATAAAAGATCTGAAAACCACTCATACGTTGTCGATAATTATACCTACTGTTTTTTTTAGGATTTTTTTCGAAACAACATTTAAAAATGAACAATAAGTATGAAAAAATAAATTAATATTATAGGTATGTATTTTACATGACTAAAACATACAAAAAATAATCTTTCTTATTCTTTTTAATAATTTTATACTACACTAGGTTTTTGAAAATTAAGCTTAAATTAAGTTTTTTTATCGTGCATACTCTGGAAAAATAAACAAAATGATAAAAAAAATATTGGAAATAAATATTATTAACTTAAGTTTTTATAATTATCAAATATATAATGGGAACAACAAACATTTAAAAATTTGGTAAGTAATTGAGTTGCTATTATTTTTCATATAATATTATTTTTAATTTATCAAATATATTTTTTTGTATATGACAAATTTTTAAGACTAATAGAATGTTTTCATCTGACAAATATAATTAATTAAATGCTTACTTTACCATATCACAATAACATATAATGAACAAAGTTCAGAACTCCAGAACTCATAACACAGCGTACACCTCTAACTCAGATATTTATAATATACATTAAAATATCCATTCGTTAAAGTTTCGAAACCCGCCATTCAAAGTTGTTGTGCCAATGAATGGCGGATGACACAGTTTGTACAACTTTATAATGTAATTCCAGTGGATTGTTTAAAAGTTAGAAACATTTTGCATTTCAGAATCTTAAACATTTCTATAAAAATCTTATTATTATAGACAACTTCTACATTTATTTGCTTTAAGAAATATAAATAGTTAACTGATAGGTGACCAAATTAATATATTACATGTTTTTTTATTTTGTTCCACTTGCTGATTACCCTTACTGAAATAAGACATTTCAAGTCTTTCTTTGCTTCTTTATACGAGAGACGAAACCTCTTAGCATTCAATGGATTCACCGTGCGGGTGCCGGGTCCATTGCGTTGCAGGGAGAGGAGCTTCAACAGTGCCTGGGACTTGCGACCCAGGTGTAGGTTTAAGGGGCCCCTTAACTAACGCGCGTTATACGCTCACCTCCACTGTCCAAGTTCCTCTCCCTACCTAACCAAATTTGAAAAGAACCTACTAGGGCTGCCTTCGACGTACGTTCTAAGAATGAATTAATGTTAGTTCTGGACAGGCCCAAGTCTTTTAGTAGGTTATAGAGAGATTTAGCTGTTATACCTCTCGCTCCCACCTCTACCGCGTACAAATCAACGACGAACCTATTTCGAGTTAGTTCGTTAGTGAGCTCGTAATACTTATTGACCTTGATGGCATGGTCTTTTGGGATGTTGGTTTCCCAAGGCACCGTAAGCTCTATCATCACAACGCGCTTTAAAATACGCGAATATAGAAATATATCTGGTCTGGAGGCCGACGCACAAATATCCTCGGGGATTTTGTATTGTTTCTCATACGTATCCATCATGATAGTCCAATCTGAAGCCGCTTTAAGGATAGAGTAAGGCTTGACGTTTGATTTTACAGCCCTGGTGCCCTCTCTCACAAAACCTATTGATCGCTCGTTTGTGGTTATTTCCCTTTGCGCTCTGGCTACCGAAAGACTAACCGCTTCACGTATGATCTCTAAAACCCTATCGTGACGACGCGAGTATTGACCGCTGTCCAGGAGAACCTTACATCCCACCAGCAAATGCTTGGCAGTTCCAACTGCCTTTCCGCAGATATAGCAAGTTTTTTCGGTACCTTTACCCCATCTTACTAAATTACTCTGATCTGGGAGAGTCATCTGGAACGCATTGAGATAAAATTTTAGCAAGGCTGGCGACCAGTCATGAATTAGGGTGCGCCATTTTAGTGCTAGTGGAATGCAAAAATCTCCTATGTCTAACCACTCGTTCTGCATTTCTAAACTCATTGCATGGATTTTGTATTTATCGTTCTCGTCTTGCCGAATAAAAGACTTCAATATATCCGTATCTTGGACTTTCCTACTTGATCCTAACCCTACTCTGTTATTTTGCGCTCCGATCATAAATTGTTTATGGAATTGAAGTCGTGACTCTAGCTCTGGGGCATCATTGTCTTTTGGGAGTGATGTAACGACGTCATCATGGGATTTCCCCAGGATATGTCTCTTGGAAACTCTTAGGTGTTTGTAGAGCTCCGATGGTCTTTTTAGATTCATCCCAAAACTATTACGATCCCTGAATAAAGCCGATGAATCAGCCGTTAGCGCGAGCCCGAGCCACAACTTCAACATCTTTATGACGCCTGCATCTAATTTAGATAAAAAGGGTTTTACTAAAATCATAGACGAGGAAAGGCCAATTCAAACGTGAAGTTAAGTAATTATCGTAGATCCATGCTTTTTTTACGTTACTGATCTGCTGGCTATCTACCTTGTTAAGATCATTTAAAAAGCTATCTACTATTCCTTCTAAAGATGGAGTACGACCTATATTATCAATCTTACGACCGAGAAACTTGAATGGTGCATCTTCCGTAACCGTAGAAACGCATTGACCGCCTATCGATAGTCCCGGATCGTATGAGGTGTATCTTGTATTCCGCCTACCAAGACACAAACAGTGACATTTACTTGGTTTTGTCCTCAATCCATCCGTCCACTCACAGAATTTATCCACTTCATCCAATAGTACTTGACAGTGTTTGGGGTGACGTGTCAGTATTGCGAGATCGTCAGCGAAGGCTAAAATGGATTCCGTGTATTTATTATTAAACTTAAACCGATAACCCCATTTTTTCTCGTTACAGATTAATTTGTCTACTAAGATGTTAATAACGATATTAAACGTAATTGGAGATAGACAACAACCTTGAAACAGTCCTACATTATAACTCAAACCTTTTGAAGGGCCTTCTTTAGTTATTATAGAAAACCTTAATTTTGAGTAATACGACGCGATCATATCTCTAACTAGGGGTGGAAAGTTGTACCATCTAAGCGCGAATAGCATCAACTCGTGTTGTATCGACCCGAACGCGTTCTCTAAGTCTATCCAACAAACTGTAATTTGCCGCTCGCTTTTTCTAGCATCTTTCAAACTCTCCGACAGCAAGGTGTTGTGTTCTAGGCATCCAGAAATCCCGGGTAGAAACCCTTTCTGGTGATTTGGCCTAAAATACTTGTTGCTGAGCATGAATCGCGTCATTCTCGTTTGTAGGACCGAGAAAAAGATTTTAGAAATTGTATTTGTTAAGGCTATCGGTCTAGTATCCTTCGGATCGGTAACTCGATCTTTTTTGGGAATGAGGACAAAAATTGCTTTCCCGAAACACTCCGGGATTTGCTTCCTTGACCAGATTTTGCCGTATATATTTATGAGGTGTTTACGAACCGATGGACATTTTTTAAAGACTATATATGGGATACCATCGGGGCCCGGTGCAGATTTAGATGATTTCCTCTTTATGTGACTACTTATTTCGTCTAACGTTGGTGGTATGCCGTGAAAATCGATATGAGGAATTTCCGGTTTTTGTTCGTTTGGATCCGTATAGAGCCTTACACTTTTAGGCACTTCGTATGTGCTCTTGAAATGGTCGTAAATTTGATCGTTGGTCAAGAGAAGCTGTCCGCGTTCTTTCTTAAAAATGGTTTTCGAATACTCAAAAGGGTTTTTATCAAAATCTACTTCCTGTTTGGCCCGGTCAAAATTACCGCGATATTCTGCAGTTTGTGCCGATATTCCTTGAATTAATTTAAGGATTGACCTTAACGCCCTAGCTAGCTGATGACTAAGGTGGTTGTCGCCTAGAGCTTTGGCTATACGTAGATTTTTTATTAATTCCCGTTTTTTCTTCCTCATTTTTATCTTGAACGAATTTTCTTTATTTTTGCGAGCGTAATGATTACGTGGTGGATATTGCTCGTTGAAGTAGTCATAAACGGTATTTTGGAAAGTTTCTACCTGCGAGTTCAATTCCTGCTTCGAGCCCGGATGCTCTAACAGGACCGCTAAATTGTCGTCGTGAACTTTCCAAGTCGATTGTTTCATGTTAGGAATGCTAAGACGTGTCCGGATGTTAATGGACTCCTGGTGGTTTCCAGTTAATGGTTCACCATGGGATACGTGAGGGTCAACTCTATCCGAAGTGATAATTGAAGAACTTACCAACGATTGTCGCGCTTCAACACCATTATGTGTTTTTAGGTGTTTAATGTACCAGGCTCGTCTCTTGTAATTTTTCCCGCACGTAGGGCATTTCAAGTCCGTATTCGCGCCGTTTTCGCCGTTTAAATCGACCGGTGGACAGATCTTCCGCCCCCCCTCTCGGACTGTCCCAGGGGTATTTTTCTTTATAGGACTTTTAGCTTGATAAATCCCGGGCTGGGCTTGCTAGGCCGTTGCCCTCGGCTGTCTTTCCAGCAGTCATCCGTCTTTCCGGCAGTCATCCGTCTTTCCGGCAGTCATCTGTCTTTCCAGAGTCAGCCCGACTCTCCGGGCAGTCGTTTTATATGAGACGAAACCTCTTAGCATTCAATGGATTCACCGTGCGGGTGCCGGGTCCATTGCGTTGCAGGGAGAGGAGCTTCAACAGTGCCTGGGACTTGCGACCCAGGTGTAGGTTTAAGGGGCCCCTTAACTAACGCGCGTTATACGCTCACCTCCACTGTCCAAGTTCCTCTCCCTACCTAACCAAATTTGAAAAGAACCTACTAGGGCTGCCTTCGACGTACGTTCTAAGAATGAATTAATGTTAGTTCTGGACAGGCCCAAGTCTTTTAGTAGGTTATAGAGAGATTTAGCTGTTATACCTCTCGCTCCCACCTCTACCGCGTACAAATCAACGACGAACCTATTTCGAGTTAGTTCGTTAGTGAGCTCGTAATACTTATTGACCTTGATGGCATGGTCTTTTGGGATGTTGGTTTCCCAAGGCACCGTAAGCTCTATCATCACAACGCGCTTTAAAATACGCGAATATAGAAATATATCTGGTCTGGAGGCCGACGCACAAATATCCTCGGGGAATATATATTAATAGAAATCTTGTAATTATGTCCCCCAATATTTCTAAAAGGTTTTAATATAAAAACTCAAATGTATAAGGTTTTCTTTGGACATTTATATATGATTTTTGCCCAATATTGTTTTTGTCCACACTCAGCGGTTCTTAAAGTGGAACTATAAAGTGGAAGTTGATAGAAGTTACGTTATAATACGCTGAAATTGAAGTTCTTATGAAGTCTCCAAGGTTTCATAATAGCAACTCTTTGCCAGAGCGTCTATTTAGTTTATTAATAATTGTATTTAATACACATACTTATGTACATTAAGTTAGTATTGCAACTAATTACTCGGGAACCGAATTATTAACTATATCTAATAGGAAAATTTGTTGATATCATGAAATCCTGAGAAGTGGTTTGAAGGCTTTCGAACGTACTTGATGAGAAAACGGTCCTATATGTGTTCCGTTCTCATATGTATTAGTGTACCGAAAGCTCTTAAAAGGATAGGGCGGCAAACGGAACTTAAGAAGTCTATAAATTAAACCTTCAAGATCAACTAACATCTTAGAATAAGCTTCATATGTTCAGATTGTATAGTTTGTGTTTTATAATGGTGGTTCATGGGCCTGTAAACCTCATGAGGCCATTTTGAAAAGCTTAAAACTGAATAAATAATAGTTCATTCCCAGTTTTGACAAAAAAAGATGGATGGATGAAAAACTTAACCAAAAATAAAGACAATAAAAAGTTTGATAGCGGTTTTAAAGATCTTTCAAAATGGCCGAAATGTTTTTCACATTTCTTAATGGCCTCAAGCTCGATTCTTTAGTTAGTAATTTTCATTTTACGATTCGCTACTTAAATATCATTATTTTATATTAATATGTAGGTAGTAAATTTATCATTTTAGTCTCTCCAGACTGTGTTAAGATTTTATTTGTGGTTGAAATATAAAAATGCCTCATCAATTCAATATGTGCATAGTTAAAGGAACTGGTCAATTTACCGTTTTTAAAAATGCAAAAATTGAATATCGTCGTTCCGAGAAAGCCAAAGTGCACCGATGACTGTTAAAAATTTTATGTAAAGCTCTGCAAGTTTTTAAACTTTTAATTATGAAAGTTTTATGTAGAAGTCTTATAAAACGAGCTTTTTTAGTAATATTTTCTTTTAGTGCCCAAAAATTATCAGTACTGATGTTCCTTATATCCTGTTTTTTTTTTTAGTTACATCTTTATGCTAAAATTCACAAGTCTTGTTCAAAACTCCGATGTTTCACAGACAAAACATAAAATTTATTCATAGTCTAAGATACTAAATTATATAAAAACTACTTTTTAATCATTTACCTAAATAGAAAATACTTATATAAAACTACATCGAAATTAAAATGTGCTCAGTGTTTAATGTATTTAGTGTCTGTTTGTGTTTTGTACATTTTTGTACAGTTATTAACTTAAGAGGTCTAATGATACCGCATTGTAGACGTTTCAAAAGACTCACTATAATTTTGGATGCCTTAAACTTTCCACAAACTCAATTCTAAAATCCATAATGTCTGTCCAAATTGTTGTAATTTTTAAACGATGTTCTATTTAAGTCCTAAATGATCACCCGAATGCCTTAAACTTACCAATTACTCAGTCATTATAAACTAAAACTGTTCATGAAAACAACGAGATCTTTCAACGATAAAAAATAATACGATATGATTTTTGAAATGTTTTATATCAAAGTATAAATAATAATTGAAGAAATACTGTAATATAATGGTATTTAAATAGTTCAGTGTATGTACATGATAACTAAAACGGTATAGGTCTATGAACCTCCAGTTGATGTTATCAACGCCCGTCTAATGTCAGCTGCATTTACCATTATATTACAGTATTTCTTCAATTATAAATAATAATTGAAGAAATACTGTAATATAATGGTATTTAAATAGATCAGTGTATGTACATGATAACTAAAACGGTATAGGTCTATGAACCTCCAGTTGATGTTATCAACGCCCGTCTAATGTCAGCTGCATTTACCATTATATTACAGTATTTCTTCAATTATAAATAATAATTGAAGAAATACTGTAATATAATGGTATTTAAATAGATCAGTGTATGTACATGATAACTAAAACGGTATAGGTCTATGAACCTCCAGTTGATGTTATCAACGCCCGTCTAATGTCAGCTGCATTTACTCTCAGATGATAGATCGAGGCTTTCTCGACGATTGTTTGTTTTAACGTTCATGGGGACACATCTGATGAAAGATTAATTTAGTTAATGATTATAATAGGAGTAAATAATAATGATCATAAACATTCTTAAACGAATGAAATATTCTGTTCGTATTGTATTGTTAACGTGTTGTTTTATATAAAACATTGAGTTCTTATTTGCTTTAATGACAAATAAGCTATATAAATAGGTTTATTTGTTATTTAATGAAAGTCTTACAACGATCTATATTTAGAATGACAATGTGATCTTTAGCTATGGATATCGAAGTGCTTCGGTGATTTTACAAACCAGACTTCTGCGAAATGTAAAACATAAGATTTTATTATTCTTTTCTTGGTTAAATGTCATTTTATTTAATTTTATTTCATTTCACCTGAAAAATCTGGAGTTTTTGTAAGCAACTTTTTTTAATTATTTGCGTTCCCCGTTTATTTCTTGATTATTAAGAAAAAAATTACTTTATTCATTAACATTTATGTCATGTATATAAATTCTTTTATCAAGTTATTCATATTCGTTTATCATATATTGAATTAATTAAAACAAACGACAATATTTAATATGAAATATGTAATAACATTTGCAAACATTATGACATAATCACTTATTTAGAATTATATTTGTGTTGTGGTCTAAATGCCATTGAATGTAAAATAATTATCATAATAGGTTAGGTCAAAATATTCCTATAGTCTTGTTTCATGCAGTGTTACGAGAGTAACTATTATTATTCGGATAACTAAACTACTTATAATATCAATAACTATTGATAGTCATTGCAATAGTTAGAAATTAACTATGAATCTAAATTTAGATTTACATTTAATATATGCAAAATACATACATCGGAACAATTTGTATAACACTAAAATTTAATATCAATTATGGATTTTGAAATATTGAATAATACCTACTGTTTTCATAATATAGCTCTTTCAACGTTTATTTTAAGATCATTTATCTTGAAATATGTAAAAGCTTGATACATTTCTAGTCTTTTGTTTGGCTTGACTCATAGAGCACGTCGACTATCTCAGTCGACGTCTACAACATCTGACTATAATAAGATTTAAGGTTAAATGGTCTTTACTCACTAAGTCTACTGAAACACGTTTTTATTCTAAACATTTGTCATAAAAGTAAAACATAGCATTATTTATTCTAGAATCCGAGTTGGGTTTTTCTTATTTAATTTATTGAGATTTTTTAAACATAAATCTAAATAAAATGAGGTGAAGGTTTTACGTATAAAAATGTTATGATTTTTCAAAGCAGAAACTGTTCGTATAGTTTTAAGTGCTCGTGGCTGTCGACCAGTTTCAATATGTTTTCAATTTAGATTTAACATACGTTCCAATAGTTTGAATGTATGCAGAGTTTATAAATTGTCACTGTTAACTAACTTAATAATGAAATTGCTATGCTGTAATATATATTTATGATTAAGGATACATTATTTTAACCTTGTAAATGTTATTTCGGTTAATGTTTCCGTACTACTTGTAACTTTTACGCAACTTGTTTTTTTTCGAAATGAAATAAATTAATATATGTAAGTTATAATAAATTTTACCATACTTAAAATTTGGAATATCATACAATTCATGTCAAGTATGTAAGTGACAATAGTTTCATGATAGTATGTCTATCTATCTTGCGTACTTGATAAAGATTTACACCTTATTTATATATCATATCAACACTCATTCAGAATTTAAACCAACATATTCAAACACTTTAAGATCCGAAAAGGTTGTCATTATTATTAATTTTTATTCGATACATAACTTTAATCAGCGTAAAAACAATATCATTTAAAGGTTTCTCTTGTGATCTGTAATATGTTAAAACTATCCATCCGTTCAAGTTTCGAAGACCGTCATTCAAACTTGTCACACCATGCCGGATGTCCCAGTTTGCATCAACTTTGATAATTTAACTCCATTCGATTGTTTACAGGTTAGCTTACCTTTGTTTTTATAAAATTACCGTGCAAATTTAAATATAGTTATTTATAGTTGTACAGCAACCCTTATTTTTTCGTTTTGGAAATATAAGAATTTAAATTTTACTTTAATATAACTGTTAACATTGATAGTAATTTTGAATTCTAAATAATTTTTTTTATAGCTTAACCTTTACTTACAGTGATCGTTTTTATTTTTATAGATCTCATTTCACGTACCAAAAGTCTAAGCCTTTAAGTAATGTTTGGTTGACTTTTGGGTTTTATATAAGCCAACCGCAATATTTCTCATTTACTAAGTTTCAATTTAAAATCTGTAAATGTAAAAAAATTATATCTAAAAAGTGTTCATTTCTCTTTATTAATTCATAAAATGACATAACATACACCATTACAGATTCTAAGAAGTTTTTGAAACACGTTCTGAGGATATACGGGTGAAACGAAAGCTTTGTAAAGGTTTACGCTAAGACTTACATATTAGAAGCTTGTAAATGAAACTTTAAATATTAACCTACATTTTAAGATATATAATCGTGGCAAGGATATAGTAGATGTATGAGCCGTAGCCCTCGAAAATCCATCTTTGAGCAGATTAAAAATAGATGAATATTACATTTTCTATAGCCCTGACGCTATGACAAAAAAAAAGTTAAGTAAGCTGTTGTACTTGCAAATTAGAGAAACCTATCTATGATACGCGGACCATGATGTGTTTACATGGTAGATTCG